TAATTAAATAAATAAATAAATAAATAAATAAATAAATAAATAAATAAAACTCTTATTACTTACATTGATTTTTAGATAGATTTTCAACTTTGACATTCTTCAGATTGCAATAATCAGCTGAGAGATTTTTTTTAACTTATCATGTCCTGCTTAACTGATTTTGTGTAACGCCTGAGGCAATAGTTCTCAACCTTGGTCTACAACTCCCAGAAATCCTGGCCTGCACATCTGGTGGTGAAGGCTTCTGGGTATTTTAGTCTAAGAAAATCTGGGGAATCAAGGTTGGGAATCACTAGTCTAAGGCAACTTGGCTTTGCTGTAGCTGGTATACTCTTCCACACCTGTTCTCTCCCTGCTATGGCTATTGTTTCCCAGCAAATGACTCTTTGGATCCCTTCCTGACTAGGAGGCAGGGGATCACTCATTGAGATATTCAGAACACCCTGTTTTGGTTAGTTGTGGCTCAGAGGAACATTTTCAATCTTCTCATTGGAATCCTTGAAATCTCATTCCAGTGATTCTAACTTGATTGAAATTTAATCAAGCTGTTAAAAAAAAAAATAACCAAAATCCTGTCTCCTGTCAAAAAGCACTTCCTAAATAAGAATGCATAATTAATCTTTTATGGGATCTTGGCAAGATTCTCTCTTTTTATTATAAATATATTTTTGTCAATTAAACATTTAATCCTCTACTTTTTTGAAGGGAAGGAAGGGGCTCTGCCATTGGATATGAATCAGAAAATCATTCACTGGCTGGGAGTCACAGTCCAGTACCATATACTGTACTATCTGGAGAGAAAAGAATGATAAGGGCAAAGATTATCATCTATCCCAACTTGTTTTACAGGCTTGGTTGCTGGACATGAGCTGATAGTAGAGTTATTTCTTGCACGTTTGTTCCTCCATTCTGTTTTCTTCTTCCCCATGAGAAACTGTCACGATCAGTCTCCACTGTGGGAGTGAATCTCAAACTTTCAGAGAGAGGGCTAAAGTCAAATAAATCTAGTCTTGTAGAACCATGAATCAGAGCACAATCAGACTGATTAATATGACTGAAGTCTAATTGACTAAAGAGGGTAAGAATAATAGTCTCAAATTAACAGATTCTCCACAAGAGCTGCTGTCCAAGCAAGCCATCTTGCAGAAATCTCTGATGAAGTACTTATCTTCTTGGTTTTTAATATGTTGATCTTATATTATGGCAATGTTTTAAGTATTACCTGCAAAAATATGCACCTAATGCAAATACAGAATTTCCCTGTCTTGGTAGATGGTGGCCCAATGTATATTGAGGATATGCTCTGAGATTGCTTCTCATCCATTATCCATAATTCGTATCATGCAGAAGAACAACCTGCTGGAAATACTTTTTTGCTGAGTGATACTTCAGTTTGGAGCTGAACTACAAGTGTAATGCACACTGACAGACCAAAGCTGTCTCATTGGATTAGTGGGCAAAAGAACTTCCTCCTAGACCACAGATGGAGGATCCAAGAAAGGCTCATTAGGAGGATTAGTTGAGATAAGGATGGTTTATGGATAAGGAAAGGGAAAGCCTTTGGAAAGGATGGGGATGAGGAACCAAGATTCAGGAAAAAGTTGAGGTAGAAAAGGCTTCTTATCTGTGGGTGCAGTGGCCTTTTTTGTTCCATTGACACCACTAAGGTTTCCTGCTTTCTAATTGGTCCTGGATCCTTCTTCCCCAGTTGTCAAGCAAAAGATGGCTTTTTATTGGTGCATAACATGGTGGAGTCAAAACCATTGGAGACTTCTATGTTGTTGATGTGACCCTATGCACTGTGGAGAAGGAAAACTCTGATTGCAAACCTCCACTGCCTTGTGGCTATATCCACTCATGGTAAAGGCTTCAGGAGTTAACCTAGAGGCAAAATCCGGAGCTGGAGTCCCAGAGGCAGTTCGTGTCGTTCCGACAACTCCTGCGACGTTGCTGGAACCAGTTGTATTGGCTCTTGCCTTTCCATTGGAGCATTTCAGCAATGTGGAGAGGGGGGATCTGCTGCTTGGGTAACAGCCTATCCTCCATATTACTTTACCCAGGCTTCATGCTCTGGAGAGGACGCTTCTCGATACAGAGCACATTACCATAGTCTCTCGAGACTGAAGGATGCCTATGATGCACTGTATCTCTGTATAAGGAACATCCCAGGCTCATTGAGTAACAAATGAGTCTGGGATGTTTCCAGGGATCAACATCTTTTATCCATTTTCATACTGGTCCATTGCCTGGGGCCCAAAGAAGCAGAATGGAGTTTTTTCTCCTGCATCACATTTTGCAGAAAGAGTCTCTTGCTCTATATAGGAGCCAAGTTGTATCTGAGCCATCTTCTTGTCCCCATTTCTGGCATGTTCCATTTTTGAGACCCATGTTATTGACATCTAGATGCTTCAGATTAAGGCCTGAGTAACAACCATCACCACCTGAATCCAGTGTAGTCATGGTATAGGTCCAGTCACTTGGCATTCATATAAATGTATGCTTACCCTGTGGTGTGTGCTTAGCATTGGTGCCACAAAGGCAACATTGCTGGAATCACATGCAGATTAACGCTGTATGCAGATGCACCCAGTGTTACCAGAACAACTGCTGAAACTCCGTATAGTGTACTGAACAGGATATCCAATAATGTAAAATTCAACACAATAGATGTATTAAATCTATCTAACATAAAGAATGTAATTGTTTATAACTCCACCATAAAGTAATATATAACAAATAGTACAGAGCAACTGTCAAGTATTGTATACAAATCCATACATGCTATATATACTACTACATGCTACACAGTAAGAATCCAAATTTAACTATGAAGCATACATGGTGTATTCATATATCAAACATCTTTGTTTAGTTCCTGATAATGCTTGAAATAACAGCAGTCTCAATGAGCTCATTTGATACAGTATATGAATACACCACATCTGCTTCATCATTATCCAAAAAACACAGTCAGGTGTGCACGCCAATCTCCTTGATTGGGGTCAAAAGCTAGCTTATGGTTGCAATTTTTTAATGGTCAGCCACCCTTGTCTTCAGAAAGAAGAGACTGAAATTATTAAACATTCCCAATAACTTGGTTCAATCATTTGGTCAAACATAGACTGCAGCCAAGAAATCAGAACAAGACAGAGACATGGAAGGGTTATGAAGGAACAATAAAAGATCCATTGCAGACCAATGCCAAGATCATTCATATTATAATTTTCCTGATCATCATGTGCAGATGTAAATATTGAACAATGAAGAAAGCTGATGGGGTAGGGGAATTACTCAGACCAAATATAATGTTGAAGCAGAGTTTTACATCTATCATGTCTCACCAAAATGACAAATGAGTAGGTTCTAGAGCAAACCAAGCCTGAACACTCATTCAAAGTACTGTATAATAATGACTGTCCTACTTTAGGCACGTTAGGACAAGACTCATGGGGAAAAGACTTTAATGCTGGGGAAAGTTGAAGGCAGAAAGAAAAGAGGAAGACGAAACATGATGTGGCTTGACTCAGTAAAAGAAGGCAGAGCCTAGAGCTTGCATGACCTAAGGAGGGCCTGCAAGGACAGCGTGTTTTGGAGCCAGTAATGCATAAGAGTTGTAATAAATTGTACACACCATAAGGGTACCTATTAAAACCAAATCAGGGCCCGTGTGTCTCTGAAGATATGGGCTGCTGAAGGCTGTAGGGTGCTGGTGCCCTCGTCCCCTGCAAGGCAGCCTCCCTACAGGCAACTGGCTGGGCACTGCATGACCAGATGGTTGGGTCCAACAAGTTTCTGGCCTGACCAAAGAAAACATTTTTTGGTCTCATTGTCCTCCCTACTCTACCACCCCGGGGTTGGGCTCTTTCCCGGGTGAGGGCTAAGGATGGCAGCCACCAGCGGGGACTGGCTTCCCAATGAACAAGAACATCCTAACATTGCCATTGCACGACATGCACGCGGAGGGGGTTAGACCGCATTCTGCTCCCAGCCAGGTGTAGCGCTAACGCTGCGCCTCCACACTGTCAGGGGCAACCGAGGTAAGGGCAACCGCCGCGCCGCCTTCCTCGAACTTATCGGGTCAGGTCGAAAAGAAAAGAAAAAAACACAGGCCCCGCCGCCGGGAGAGGAAGAAGAAGTATCGCCTCTCCTTCTATGTGGAGGCGCCGCGCGTCCCTCTCTCCCTCCCTCCCTCCCCGCTGGCTCGAGGAAATGTTTTAGCCATTTCCGAAAGAACTCGGAGGAGTAGCAGACCAAATCCTGACGGACGGTGGGCGCTGAGGGCCGTAGTCCATGGAGAAATCTATTCTGAGGACTTGGCGGGACGAGAGGAGAGGAGGAGGCGACTTGGCGACAGGTTGGGGCCATGGGGGGGATGTGGGGAGGAAGCGAAGGCGGGCGGGCGGACGACCCGCTCGCTCTCTCTCTCTCTCTCTTTTATTTGCCTCAGCTCCACACCGCCTGCTGAGGCAACCACCTCTTCCTCGTCTGGGAGGGGACGTAACGGCCCAGCTCTATTAATGGCAGGGCTGCCCCGCCGTCGCTTCTGTCGCCACGGAGCGCCCTCTCGGGAACAGCATGCAATGCTCACGGAGCGGCCTGGTGGTGTCCCTCAGCTGCCTGCAGGTGGCCTTAGGGCTACTGCACTTGGCGCTAAACAGGCGCCATCCCATGCGCTACGGGAAGCACGACGATTACAAGCAAAAGCAGGAGGAGCAGCGGCCAGGGCGGGAGAAAGCCGAGGGAAACGACTCTTCGCAGAAGCCGCCGCCGCCGCTGCCGGCTGAGGACCGCGCACACGTGCCCGCCCGCTGCGCCTGGTTCCTGCAAGAGCTGCCCGCTTGCCTGGTGCCCGCGCTCCTGCTGGCCTGGCGCAACCCGCCACGCTTGGCGCCTCTCGGCTGCAAGCTGCTGGCCGGCATGTTCTGCGCCCACTACTTCTACAGGTAAAGCGTGAGGGACCGTTTGCCTGAGAGAGGGAAGCGGCTGCTCCGACAGCCACTCCCCCCCCCTTACCTGGGATCTCCCAGTTCTGCGTTTTCCGGCTAATCGAAATGATTCTCACGATGCTGAAGGCGGTGGTTTCCTGTTCCTTTTTTTTTACTCTAGAGGAGTCGCATTCTTAGCCGGGTGAAGCAACTTTGGGGTTGGCGGCGGGTTTGGCGGGGAAAACACTGCACCTCTTTGCCAGGGAATGGAGAGGCTACCTGGTGGGGCCGCGGACTTATTTTTGCAAACGACCAGAAACTTTGAAATTTCTCTGAAGTAAATCTCAGGGTATTCTCTGGGTCCCGAGTATAATCACATATTTATCTCCATTCAAACTTAAGTCCCACTACGTTTTTCCAGACTTGCTGGCAGGTAAGTGTATATAGGGCTGTAGCCAAAATATAATCCCTGAATCTTGCCGGGTTTGAACTGGGAGGGCATACTTCCAAAGAATGCCAGCCAAGCACCGCTGCCAGAAAGGTATGTATGAACGAAGTTCCTCTCTGTAAACGTCACTAGCAAAATAGTCTGCCTTGGAGACAACTGTTATATGACTTTTTGTCTAGGAATTAGGGTAGACACCTAAAAACTTCATACACAGAAGTAAACCCCATTGAGTTCAGTGGGACTTACTCCCAGGAGTGAGTGTGTTTGATTGCAACCATACTCTCCTTGAATTGATAGACATGGGATTTTCAGACTTGTGCCACTCTTACTTCTAAGAGCCCTTGCATAGGACCTGCCTGTAAATTTTGCCTCCACCCTCCTGCTCTGCTGTCTCTTACAATGTACAATATTATCTCAAAATTTTCACCTTCTGTATAGCTTTTTTAATGCATAGTGGGAGAGGTGGTGAATTAAAACAGATAGAGCAGCCTGCTTTCTCAGGTGCACTGAGACCACAAGCATGAGAAATTTTGCTGCTGTTGTCATCGACATGTTGTTGATGATGATTGTCACCCAATTACCGTGTTTCCCCAAAAATAAGACAGGGTCTTATATTAATTTTTGCTCCAAAAATGTATTGGGGTTTATTTTCAGGATATGTTTTATTTTTTTCATGTACAACAACCTACATTTATTCAAATGCAATCAAGTCCTCTTCTTCTGGTTGCTGCACAATGGTGGAAGCTGGAGTTTCACTTAACTGGGGCTTATTTTTGGGGTAGGGCTTATATTACGAGCATCCTGAAAAATCATACTAGGGCTTATTTTCAGGTTAGGGCTTATTTTCGGGAAAACAAGGCATATACCTAGCTCTTCTCCAACAGGGTCTCTTCTTCATCAGTTCAAGACTTTTATCTCCTCCTCTCTTAATCTATTTTACCAGATTTTTATAACACCACATACTGAAGAATATAGATGTACATACTCAAAAAAGAGCTTTTCAGAGATGCAGCTGAATTCCTACTAAGGATTATGTCATATTTCCTAGACAGTGTGTTCCATATAGGCAGTGACTTAAATCTGGAGGCCAGACTTTATATTATAGGGCATAATATACATTTATATGGCAAATCCATGATAATATTTTCTAACATTTTCGTTTTCACTTTAACCAACACACACACACACAAAATACACTTTGTAGAATTTTCCAGATCTGAAACACAGCTCTGAAGCTTGTTTTAGTCCTATCAAGTCTCTCTCTCTCTCTCTCTCTCTCTCTCTCTCTCTCTCTCTCTCTATCTCTCTCTCTCTCTATCTCTCTCCTCTCTCTCTCTCTCTCTCTCTCTATCTCTCTCTCTATCTATCTCTCTATCTATCTATCTATCTCTATCTCTATCTCTCTATCTCTCTCTATTGTAGTGCCATCATAGAGTTAGTATTACATTCCAGGTTTGGAGTTGGCTTTGCACAGAGCAAACAGAAGAAAACTCTGTTAATGTGTTAGTAGTTCTCTGTAAATGTCATATTAAATTTCATTAAAAAGATGTTGAGGATGGTTTTAATCGTATTATTAACATTTTACTGTTGACAAGAGTAGGGCATCTGTTCCGGATAACTTTTTCATTAGCTTTTAGAAGATGCAGCAAGTAACACAAAACTATATAAAGATATGACATTTGTGTTTGGCTTTCAAAGATTAAAACTGATGATGACTGGCAAACTCATGCAATGAAATGAAAGGAATAAAATTCTACAAAAAATGCAACTTTAATTAAAATCAGGCTGTGTGAGGAAGCAGAAAAACAACAACCCTGTGAACTTAAAACCAAGGAATGTTAAAATGGGATGAAATATTATTTTGATTGATGAAGGTACTGCCTTCCTCAGTGCATCAAAAGAGAAAGGCTGCCAGGTAAGCTAAGCAGTGCTTGGGGCTTCTTCCAGATGTTCTTGCCTACCTGCAGGTATCGAGGCCTTTTGAAGACACAGCTGCTTTCACAGTGAGTGCCAAAAACACTGCAGGGATCCTTGGAGTCGGGGCTTTGAGTAGGTGTTAAACTATGTGACTTTGGAACTTTTTAGCTGTATAATCCCACCTATGTTGAAATTTTTTGAGTGGAAACATTTTCTAATGCTTTTCTTTCTGTTTGCATCATAATAGAGTGGGTAAAATGCTACCTAAATTTCCAGAATTCCTGGCCAGAATCCTGCTGGTGTTTGCATAAGATATTCAAGTCTTGCCACTGTTAATTGATGAGGTATCAGGGCACATCTCAGTTGCATGTTTTGACATGGGACTAAGACCTGGCCCATCACCTCTTTAATTAGTTGCAGTTAGCTGTGGCAAGTTACATAAACTTCACATGAATGTCAGTAAGAGTCTGGCCTCTATTCCATGTCATATGACATGCCCTATAATAGCCCTGATACTAAGAACTGAAGCATTTTTAAAATGTTTTTAAATCAAGTGGTATCTACTAAGACTGGTAGGATGGTGGGTGGGTTTTTGGGGTGTAGGCATCCTTCAGTCTCGAGAGACTATGGTATCGTGCTCTGTATGGAGGTCTTGGAACAGTGTCTTGTGTGGCTGAGAAGGCTAATTCGAGAGTGACAATCCCTTCCACACTGGAGACAAATCCAATCTGTCCCCTGTCCAGCTCCCTGGTTTTGCTTGTTTCGGGACTGCCTCTTGGCCGCGGTCTGCTGTACAAGTGTCTCTTCAAATTGGGAGAGGCCATGATGCACCACCTGCCTCCAGGCGGTGCCTTTTGCTGGGGTAGAATGCCAGCAAAAGCAGTGATCCTCCTCCCCGTCCACTCAGCAACACCAAAACAGTTATTTGCAGGCACATATCCTTGTTCCAGTTTTACATTTGTATGAAAAGAAGTTGAATCAAATGGTTATTGTCACAAGTGTATTCCAAATCCTGAGATTTCCATATGGAGTGCTGCATAGAAATGGGTGGAATTGGAATCTACTTAGGAGCCGAGCCATTTGACAGTAACGGCAATAACAATAATCAAGCCGCAGCATCTGTGCAGCAACAGAACACTCTTTACAGGCACATACTTCTGTTAGATGCTGGGACACCCAGATCAACATTCACATAAGGAAATCAAATGGCTATGACCGTGGTTGCAAATTTGAGGTTGGTTGGGGGGGACACACAGGCCTACATTTACTCCAACATTTATTTAAAAGCACATTCTTCTGTTCCAACAACCATTTTCATTGCACATGGGAAGAAAGAGAATGACATGGCTAGGATCATGAGCACATTCCAAAACTATGCTTTTATGTGTGGTAGCAGTAGTAATAATAGTAGCACCAGCAGAATTAAAGCCATGATACATACACATTGTATCCCATATCTCCCCTTGAATATGTGGTAATAGTAGCAGCAGCAGCAAGAGGATACTGATAACAATCCAGATAGCAACAATAGGACAATCTATCCTAAATCTACCCCTTTGCATGTGGTAGTAGCGGTATGAGCAAAATGACGATGATAATAATGCTGCCCGTGGCACAGATTTACATAGCAATAGTAGTTCAAAAAGCAATGCATTCCAAATCCACCTCTTTGCATGCATTTGTAGCAGCAATTTCTGTTAGATTTAATAGAAATTACCTAGAATAAGTACTGTAAAGGTAAAAGTTCCCCTTGACATTTAGTCCAGTCATGTCCAACTCTAGGGTGCGGTGCTCATCCTCATTTCCAAGCCATAGAGCCAGCGTTTGTCTGAAGACAGTTTCCGTCGTCATATGACCAGCGCGACTAGACATGGAATGCCATTATCTTCCCACTGAGATGGTACCTATTTACCTACTCGCATTTTTTAACTGCTAGGCTGGCAGGAGCTGGGACAAGTGATGGGAGCTCACTCCGTTGCGTGGATTCGATCTTACGACTGCTGGTCTTCGGACCTTGCAGCACAGAGGCTTCTGTGGTTTAACCCGCAGTGCCACCACGTCCCTGGCATACTAGAATACTTGTGCATTAATTAGATCACTACATCTGACATGTGTGTTCTCTTCCTCTCTCTCTGTCAAACACACAAATATGTGGTTCTTGTGTTACATTCAGTCAGTTTAGAAGGCAAAGAAGTAAAGTGATCTAAGGTGTGGGGAATTATTATTCTTCTGCTTCTAGACTGAACACAGTGCCTAAGATGTGTGTGGGGTGAGAGAGAAACAGAAGACTGAGGGGAGATATAACACTTTCAAATAGTTTAGAGGAGGACCAGAATCTGTTTTTGATCATCCCAGAGTGCAGGACACATAATAATGGACTCAAGCTATGGGAAGCCAGATTTAGCCTGAATATCAGGGTGAAAAAATCTTAACTGTTAGAGCAGTACAACAATGGAACAAATGACCTCGGGAGAGGGCGAGTGCTCACTGGAGGCATTCAAGAGAAGAATGAACATCCGTCAGACCTGCTTTGATCTGGATTCCTGTATTGAGCAGAGGATTGGACTCAATGGCCTTATAGGCCCCCTTTAACTCAATTATTCTATAGTTTTATGAAATGTTTTAGAGGGAAAAAAGCAGTAGCATCAGGAAA